ATCATGAATGATGATTCATGAATTTGACTACTTGTAGAATTTTTCATTTTTTCAAACTATTGTAAATTTTTTAAATTTTATTTAATTTATTTGATATATTCTTTTAATTTTGTAACAATGTAATTTTGTATTTTCAATTTGCAACCATATTGTATTTTTTATATTTTATTAATTTATTCCTTTTTTATATTTCATTCATCCAAGTATACAATGACCCAATCATTGTATTTGTTATTTGTAATTCACTAATTTGTTATTTGATTCCATTTTATTTATCATAGAAAATGCAAAAATTAAACAAATATGATCAACTATATAAATCACTTCATAAACCGTATATGAAATATATGGAATCAAAAGATGTGGTTCAGACTGATCCAGTCCATGCAATTTGTCCACGGTTCAAAACAATTATAGACTGTGGTGTGGTGTGGATTGGTTTCCTACCACAATGCTATGGTGTAGTGTGGACCAGTCCATACCACCCAATTTCTCATCCACACTACAAGACACCCCCTACATCTGTCTCATATTAACCACACTCCCTAACTACACCCTCAAAATTTTAGTAAAGTTCTTGCATATTCTCCATGAAGATCTACACAACTACAGGAAAAAAACTTGTGTAGAGCCAAAAGCAAACAAAATGCCAGATAGAAGACATGAGCACAATTGGGGACAAGAAAGCCCTTATAGAAAATGTAAACTATGTAAATGCCATTAAAGGGGAGAAAAAAAAAACCACCAAAACCAATATTAGTCAATAAATGCAAATTAAGGAACGATCACCACTTGAAACCCAATTCCCGGACATCAACATATTCAATGCCAACGATTTTCAGTCGCAACATGATAGTGTTAGCATCAATATGGATGCTATTGATATTGATGGAATTTCCACCCCTAGTATTGATTCTAGTGAAAAGAATAAGAAGGTCACTAGGCTGATTATCCTAGTTTGGAAAATATTTAAAGTAGAGGAGGTTGAGGGGAAGGGAAAAAAAGTCTTTTGCCAAAAATGTAGGAAAGACTTTAGCTAATGTAGAAAGGATGGTACTGGCCACTTTGGCAGACAATTATTCACCCATGAGAAAGAAGAAGAAGAAGAAGAAGAAGAAGAAGAAGGGAAAGAAATAACATAAACACAAATTAGGTGTGGGTCTTTTGATACTTTTAAATATTCTTAAGAAATCAGGCAAGAATTAGCAAATTACATTGTACATGATGAACAACCATTTTTGTTAGTTAAAGATACTAAACTTGAAAGATTTTTACGTAATTTTGTAAATCCACAATTTAAAAAAGTTTCTAGGAATACCATTAGATTAAATGCTTTAAAAATTTTTTATTCATATAAACAAAATTTAATTTATGTTTTATTAAATCTTAATTCTAGAGTTGTAATTACTTATCATATTTGGACTTCTAAATTCCTTATTAGTACCATGTAATTTGGCTCGAGTGACAATTTGGTTTCCCGAACTTTAAAATGCGACAATCTAGTACCCGAACTTTGAAAATGCGACAATATGGCACTTGTCATTAATAGACCGTCAACTAGCATGTGAAAAGATGTAATTACCCATCAGCGGTGCTAATAAGTAGAAAATGCCAAATGTTCTTAAGAGAGCAATTCTCCCCATTGGTACTGGTAAGCGGAAGACGTCATTGGAAATCAACAAGAAAACATCACCGGAGAGCATAATACAAAGATATTCACCATTTTATTGGGGAAATATCTCTAGAACATAGCACATTTGCTGCCATTAGAAATGTTTTTAATCCCACCATCGTCGAAGAAGACGAACGCTTGCTGTCGGCACCGGAGAAGACAAACAATGTTTGTCTGGTTTATGTTAGACATTACCAAATGGTTCATGTCTGGACATAGAGCATCTAAACATAACCAAATTGTACCCATAAATCCACCTATCCATATAAAATTCAAACAATTGTCACTACAACAACTAATTGAATATACAAACTCTACAACTAGAAAAGTATATGAACTTCGCATACACAAACTCTACACGTATAGGACCTAGAATGTTTCAATCAATTTGATTTTCTTTATCTAATTATCATGAAAGGGACAATACTCAATTCTGTAAGCCAATAACTCGATAAAAACAAAAACAATGTCTTACCTTTGGCAAGGAAACAGTGATGTATCAAGCGACACCCCCATGGCCTCCCTACAAGCAGTCAATTGGTGCCCAAAAAAGGCACCCAATGAAGGCACAACTTCTCCACCAGTCCATAAAAGCCAACTTCTGCAGATGTTCCCTTTTCAATATAGATTTAGCATTGTTGGAACCCCCTTTGTTTAGCTTTCTACCGCTACTTTCCTCTCTGAGTGTTATTGCACCTAGATGCTCAGAAGTTGGAGCTAATCCCTTTCTCTTTCCTTCTTTCTTACTCGTTTCTTTATCTTTGTTCTATTTTACCTCCTGGGAATTTAATCAAACACACTATAGGCAACTGATGTCCTATTTGTTGGTTTCCAAGCTATAGCACGTTTTAGTTCAACACATAAAGCAAAGGGAGTTTGGACTTTAAGGGATTCCTTTCTCACCTCGGGTCAAAAACCTGAGAAGAAATATTGTGCTAGTCACGTAGCACCTGCTACCGGCACTAGAGAAGACAAACAAGGTTTGTTTGGTTCAATAAGGGCATTCTTGGCATTTTAAATATATTTAATCCGCATATGATGTCACGTGATGGTGCTAGTTGATGGTCTATTAACAACAAGGACTAGATTGTTGTGTTTCAAAAGTTTGGATACTGTATTGTCTCATTTTAAAGTTCAGGAACTAAATTGTCACTCGAGCCAAAGTACAAGGTATTGATCAAGAATTTTCCCTAAATTTAATATAAGTTATATTTGTGTAACCAATCATTTTAATGATGAAAACTGACTTTTACAAAAAAGAATTTTAAATTTTACTAGGCTTGAATAGCCACATATTGGCCCAGCCATTGCTGCAAGTATTTTAAATACTTTACATGTTTATGGAATTGACAATAAACTATTTTCTATTAGTTTTGATAATGATAGTAATGATGGTTTAACAATAAATATTTTAAAATCTCAATTAAAATCATTTTTAAATAATAAATTATTTATATTAGATGTGCATGTCACATCTTAAATTTATGTTTTTATTATGCTTTAAATATTATTTCTAATCATACTTCTAAAATTAGAAATTTTATTATATATATATATTAAAAGTTCTAGAGCAATAAAACAAGAATTTAAATATTTATATCAAAATTATGATTTAAAATATAAACATTTTGTATTAGATGTTAAATATAAATGGAATTCTATCTATGCTATGTTAGAAAATTGTATTTCTTACAAACAAATTCTTACTAATTTTTATAATGCTTAAATGCCACATGATATTATAATGGAGGAAGACTATAAAATGAGAATTTGTATAAAAGATTTTTTAAAGCATTTTTATGGTGCAACTAAGGAATTATTAGGTGTTGATTACCCAACTAGTTGTAATTTAGCTTATCAGTTAATGATGGTTATTGATTGTTTTGCAAAATATAAAAAAAAATTCACAATTTAAAAGTATTGTTGAAATAATGGAAAATAAATTTAAAAAATATTAGGAGAACATTTCTCCTCTTTATTGCATAGCTACAATATTAGATCCTAGGATTAGGAAAGATGATTTAGTTATTTTATTTGAAACATATTGTAAAAATATGAATATAGAAATTGGAAATAAAAAAGAAAATATTAATAGTAATTTATTTGAAATGTATAGTTTATATGAAACTGAAATAAAAAAGCACAAGAAATCTACAACTTGTGCAAGTGCATCTTCCACTTCTGATACTAGTTCTAGTAGTACAAAAGAAAAATTTTGGCATATAACAATTAAGAGGCAGAAATCCATTACTTCTTCATCAGTAAGTTCATTTACTAAATTTAATTTTTATTTACAAACATTTTTTTTTTAGTTTAGGTGATTCCTTTGCCTTTGAGGAAATGAATAATTTTAATATTTTAGCTTGGTGAAGTGAATATGAAAAAATGATCTAATCCTCACTACCATGGCACATAATCTACTAACCCCTCCAATGTCTACAATTCCATTAGGGTCTTGTTTTAATGTAAGTATAAGGATGTTAGACAACAAGAGAAGCTAATGAATGATGAAAGTCTGAAGATGTGCATTTGCTTTAAAGGTTGGTTGGATGCTAAGGATAATTTACAAAACAAAGGAGGACATGACACTACACCTAATGATGTTTCACTTGAAGCAGATGATCAAATTCAAGGAGATGGAGGCCCAGGTGGAACTTAAAGAAAATGGTGAAGTATTTTTTGTATATTTAATAGTTGCATAGCATTTTTTTCAAATTATTGTAAAATTTGTTTTAATTTTATTTAACTTGATATTTTTTCAATAATGTAATTTTTATTTTCAATTTGTAAATTGTAAGTTTGTAACTATATTGTATTTTTATATTTATTAATTTATTCTATTTTTCATATTTCATTCATCCAACCATTGTATGATTTATATGATTGAAATTTAAATGAAATAAAATTCTTATTTTTCTTGCAATTTATTGTCCACTTTAAGTCTGACTTTATATTTGGTTAAGTATTTTTCTATTTTTTTATTAGATTTCTTATTTTTTTCAAATAGTTCCCAAAGGAATAAAGTATTTTAGTTTTACATTTTTACTTCGCAAAAAAATAAAAAACAAAAAACAAAAATATCAAAAAAAAAACAGTTTGGCTTAGTTCGGTTCAGGCCCATAATGGACTCACACGGGTTTGGGCTGTGAGTCATGTCAGGCTGACCCCCCAAATTTTTCTAGAGGGAGGCATGGCCCATGACAGCCCGAGGGCCAGCATGGCACAGGCCGCAATTTGAGTGGGCCACACCGGGCCAACGGCCCGTTTGACAGCTCTAGTCTTTAGATTTGATCAAGCATCAGGCGTTCTTGCACAGAACAAACAGTTTTTCATTCATAGAAGAAGCCTGTTTGGTGGCACTCCGAGCATTATGCAATGAAATTTTGCCCTTCAAAAAAGAAGTTACTTGGGACTTGGGGGTAGGGGGTTATTTCTAGCCTCTTCAAGGGTATTTTCATCTTTTAGAAACAACCGAATTCAGTTTCTTGACAGAGCCTCAGTCTCCAGCCTCCTGGTAATTGCTTAACCCTTGTTTTCAATTTGTTGCTAGACTTTTGTACCAAGGAAATGGATTCGGCCATTAGTGAAACGGTGGATGATAAAACTCTTGCATCCCAATGGGAGTTCAGCTGGTCGGTCTCTCTCTCTCTCTCTCGTTCGTTCATTCTTGAATAATCAGTACTATTTTTTGTCTTCCCTTTGGTGAAGAATCTAACTCTTCATGAGTGCTGGATTTACTGGGTTTTTGTTCTGTCTTTTGGTTTTCTGCTTGAGGTTATATGACATTTATCGACTATTTCTTCTTTATGTCAATCTTGCCACTGATTTTTCCAATACAGTAGTAGATTAGATAAAGGATTTGTTAAGTAAGTATACATCGTTACAAGTAGAAAATTAGAGAAAAAGGTATCTGTTGAATGTAGTACTAGATTATGTATGTCGTGAAACATTCTATCTTTGAAAGAAGTTACACAATTGAATAATAGTGCTTATGATTCAGAAATAATGTTACATAAATGTATAAACTATTTTCTGATGTTTAACTGGGGGAAGGCGGGTGGGGGACTGGATTGTTACCAATAACTTGTTGAAGAGCATAGATATAGATGTAGAAATATCTAGTCTGCCAGAGGACAACGTGAGGCCTAACAAAAACCTCATAGATGAAATTATTGTACTAAATGGTAAATTGAAAGGCTTTCTTTTGAATTCCAGACATCTGTCGGGTAAGGATGAAACTCTTTTTGTTTATGAAGGCATAGATGTAGGGCCGTGGTTGGGGTAGGAGGAGAAGGTTTCATCAGGGTAACCTTCTTTACCTTTCTTTTTCAAAACTTGTCAATGGTTCAAAGTTTAACTTTAGCAAGTGATCTTCCTAATATTGCTAACCATTTTGGGGGCTTAGCATTGTGAGCAAAGTACAAATCATCTCATATCTGGATTTCTGAGTGAAACATGTGGAAAGAAACTATAGGATGGAAAAGCAGATATCTTGAAAAGGGTGGAGCAATGTTGATTCTTGGTGCTTTAGCTAAGGTGGTATTTGGATGCGTTTCCTGTTTACCAGTTAATAATATCAGTATCTTATTATTTTTAGGGTAAAATACAAAAACCTACCCTGAAGGTTCTGACAATCATAAAAATCTCCCTTATAGTTTCATTTTAACAAACACCTCCCCTGAAGTTTTAAGAAATTCAACAAAAACCTCCCTTTCATCACCTTCTCAGACAGAAAATGTTAAGACTGATGTACCATTTTTTCCAAATACCCATTCTACCCTTTTATAAATTATTTTACATACAAAATTATTGAAATAATCCTATTTTAACTCGACAAAAATGTTAGAAGATGACTGTAAAAGGAGGTTTTTGTCAAGTTAAAACGGTTATTTCAGTAATTTTGTTTGTAAAATAATTTATAAAAGGGTATAATAGGTATTTGAAAAAACTGGTGCATTAGTCTAACGTTTTCTGTCTAGAAAGATGATGGAAGGGAGGTTTTTGTCGAGTTTCTCAAAAGTTCAGGGGAGGTATATGAAACTATAGGGGAGGTTTTTATGATTGTCAGAAACTTGATGTGAGGTTTTTGTATTTTACCCTATTTTTTAAAAGGTAAATGAGATTTTATTAATGGAGGGAGAGCTTCCCCTCAACTAGAAAGATAATTAAAGGAATAAAGAATGTATACTGCAGTATGATTTGATTAAATATATACAAGAGATGCTATACTATATCATTTTCTTATGTGTTATACTTCACAAACTAAGGGTTTTGATTCTTTTTCTCTTTTGTCCTTCTCTTTACTTTTGGGGGTGGGAATGATTTGTTTACTTGGTTCATAGGAACTCTTTTTGGCCTACTAAAATTGGAGAATAGGATTTATTTGTTTTGTTTTTTTTTGATCAATAAGATTTATTTGTTTCATAGTAGCAAAACGTTTTTCTTATGTAGCCACCTAATTTGCTGCTCTATTATCTATCCTTGTTCTCCATGTCTACCTCCGTTGTAGATAGACCGGAGTTTCTAAGCTAAAAAGAAATTTGGTTTGATTAGAAGAAGGTGTATTATTGCAAAATCAAGGTTTGGACGTTAGACCTTGGACCATGAACAAAACATTGTTGGGAAAGTGGTTTGGAGATATGGGAAGGAGCAGGTTAGACTGTGGCAGTAAATTACTGAAAGAAAGTGCAGGTCAAATGACAAGCCTTATGGATGTTGGAGCGATGAGAGTGTTGGACCCTATGGCATGAGTTAGGGTTCATAAAGAGCTTATTTTGAAGAGGTAAGCAGACATGTTCATGGGCCAGGCTAGGCCAGGCTTTGCCTCTTTATAAACAGAAAATGACCAAAGCCCGGCCTGACCTCGGGCCTAGATCTTGAGCCCGAGCCTGGATTCAAGCCCAAAGCTTGATCTGGATAGATATTGTGTAATATATTATTAATAATATATTATATTTTTTACTGTGTATATACTATTATCAGGTCGAGCTCGGGCTCGGGCTGGGCTTGGGCTTTCCCAATTAAGCCTGGCCCAAAAAATAGTCGGGCCTGGTGTTTAGAGCCCAAGCCTAGCCTGCAGGCTTAAAAGTTTGTCCATTCCCAACATAGAACGGGCAAGGCTGGGCCAGCCCATCGGGCTACCTAGCCCATCAACAGGTCTAGAGGTAAGATATCAATGCCAAAAATAAGGATATATACAGTATAGGCCATATAAAACAATCTGTTAGATAATGGGACCACCATGCAACTCCCAAAAAAGAATGCTCTTTCTATATATACACAATGAATCACAAGAAAGGAAGCAATGAAATATATTTTTTTTATGAGTAAAAATCTTTCATTAATAACAGAGATTAAGATACAATAGCTAAAGATTGCATAGGAATTTGCAATCTCCAACAATTAGTTACAATTCTGCCCAATACAATGAAGATCTATTTGCCCCTTGTTTGCTAGGGTATCTTAACCCAACCAAACTGAGAGTTGAACTTCCTTGCAAGTGTGTCAATTTCTCTGAAAATAAACTTGAGCTTCCAAGGTGCTGATGTGATGTTTTTGGCCCAAGAGATGACCAATAGAGAGTCTCCTTCAATTTCTAAGTCTGTTGTTCCCATCTGCTTAGCCATCTTTAAACCTTGAAGTAGGGCTAGAGATTCA